AGGGTATTCGGGTTTAGGGCTTAAATCGCTCAGTCGTAGTTGGTAGAGGTTGCCATGCCTTTGATGGACTATTGTCGACAAAGTTGTTTTGCTTGGGTTCTGTGTCTTGTTCTTGCTTATCTACATCCCAGGGGAACCTGGAAACTGAACCCTTAACCCTGGACCCTAAACCCTAAACCCTGAACCCTATTATTCGGTTCCAAGAGGAGTTCAGAAACTGTAGACCTACCAGGGTCTGGAATCTTGTTTAAGGAGTCTTCCTTACTTAAAGTGCGAGTTTGTGGGAACCCTCAGCCCCAAATCCTAAGCCCCAAGCCCTCAGTCCTAACGCCCCCCCCCCCCCCCCCCCCTCCCCAAATCCGAAACCCTGAGCCTTTCCGCCGAGGCCATGCCCCGAGCATAGCGTTTCATTGGTTTAGGGTTTGCAGCTTGGGTGTCTTGGCCGTACCTCTGGGTTTTCGACGCTTCATGAGATCAGCAAATGCCCTGTCAGTATCTTTGCTGCACCACTGACTTGGTTCGTTGGATGGATCTTCTCGTTCTACATCACGATCATCAACCGCCACTGGGAAGAACTCGAATGAGCTGAACATCAGCCTTGGGCGACTGTTCATGCCCTTCGTGGTCTGAGACCAGACTTCTACAGCTGGTGCATGTTGGCTGGGCGACTTGCTGAAGCTGTTGGCCACAAGCCTTATGAGGCTGCTAGGTCCAGCTGTGACATCCAGTCTTCAGACTCAACCTCGCAGTGTCTCTTACGAGTGGAGGTCTGGACAGCAACCAAGAGACCCTGGCCCGCAGGACGGGCTGTTCGCTGGTGCACGCATGTGGTTCAGAACCGTCTTCAAGGAGCCTGGGCGGACCCTAAACCCTAAACCCTAAACCCTAAACCCTAAACCCTAAACCCTAAACCCTAAACCCTAAACCGCTGAGCTTTACGAAGTCGAAGACCAAGATCGGTGCATCTTGCTGACCCGGTCCTCTTCAAGCCGAAAGTCTCCAACCCAGACAGCGTAGAATGGGTTTTTCAACCTGCGTTCTAGACCCTAAACCCTAAAACCCTCAATCCTAAACCCTAAAACCCTCAACCCTAAACCCTGAAACCCTCAATCCTAAATCCTAAACCCTAAAACCCTCAATCCTAAACCCTAAACCCTAAAACCCTCAATCCTAAACCCTGAAACCCTCAATCCTAAACCCTAAACCCTAAAACCCTCAATCCTAAACCCTGAAACCCTCAATCCTAAACCCTAAACCCTAAAACCCTCAATCCTAAACCCTGAAACCCTCAATCCTAAACCCTAAACCCTAAAACCCTCAATCCTAAACCCTGAAACCCTCAATCCTAAACCCTAAACCCTACAACCCTCAATCCTAAACCCTGAAACCCTCAATCCTAAACCCTAAAACCCTCAATCCTAAACCCTAAAACCCTCAATCCTAAACCCTAAAACCCTCAACCCTAAACCCTAAACCCTAAAACCCTCAATCCTAAACCCTGAAACCCTAAAACCCTCAATCCTAAACCCTAAAACCCTCAATCCTAAACCCTGAAACCCTAAAACCCTCAATCCTAAACCCTGAAACCCTCAATCCTAAACCCTAAACCCTAAAACCCTCAATCCTAAACCCTGAAACCCTCAATCCTAAACCCTAAACCCTAAACCCTCAATCCTAAACCCTGAAACCCTAAACCCTAAACCCTAAACCCTAAACCCTAAACCCTAAACCCTAAACCCCTAAACCCTAAAACCCTAACCTAAACCCTAAACCCTAAAACCCTCAATCCTAAACCCTGAAACCCTCAATAAACCCTGAAACCCTAAACCCTAAACCCTAAAACCCTCAATCCTAAACCCTGAAACCCTCAATCCTAAAACCCTCAATCCTAAACCCTGAAACCCTAAACCCTGAAACCCTCAATCCTAAAACCCTCAATCCTAAACCCTGAAACCCTCAATCCTAAACCCTAAACCCTAAACCCTAAACCCTGAAACCCTCAATCCTAAACCCTAAAACCCTCAATCCTAAACCCTAAACCCTCAATCCTAAACCCTAAACCCTAAACCCTAAACCCTAAACCCTAAACCCTAAACCCTAAACCCTAAACCCTGAAACCCTGAATCCTAAACCCTAAAAGGCCTATCAGAACACCTAAACCCTGATGTTTGTTTCAGGGCTTTTCCGCGGGTAGCGGCATGGCGACATGTTGTTTACTTTCGGGTTAGGGTTGGGGTTTAGGGTTTAGGGTTTAGGGTTTAGGGTTTAGGGTTTAGGGTTTAGGGTTGGGTTTTTGTGTAAAAGTCTGTGTGGGTCATGTTTAGATCGGGCTTGGACTTGTGCCATGGTTTGTGCTGTTGCCGGGAAGCGTAAGGCATCAACTTTTGAGCACTGCTGGAATAAAGTTAAACAGGACAAAAGGGAATGCCAGTCGATACGTACAGGCCCATGCCACATATGTATATACATATACATGTGCTATGTACGATTGAACCAGTTCAAGCATATCCCAGGAATCTGAATTTCAGAAAGTGCTAGGAAAAACCATGAAACAACCCTAAAAGCCCTTAAAACCCTAAGCCTGAGGCTCCGCCATTCCGACGGCCGCTTCCGGACACATCCGGTGCTCGGGCGGAGTTTCGGGTTGAGAGGGTTTTCGAGTGTTTCGGTGCTTGAAAGGGTTTTCAGGCTTTTTGAGAGGGTTTGCGAGGGTGCTTTAGGGCGATTTAGGGTGTTGAGGGTTGAGGATTGGGTTTGGGGTTCAGTGCGGAGATAAGGCACGCGATTCAGGGCATGGTTGAAAGTCGCGCTTAGAGGTTGCATCTTGTGGACGGAGGCTATCCAAGGGTCCTTGTTGTTAAACTTGGTTGCCCAGTGGGTACCCTTTGCCCTTCTTGTTGGTTCAAGGTTCCCTTATGAAGTAACCCACCCCAAAAAGGGTACGGTACCCTTATTATAACTTGGCTACTGGGCTACCAAGTTAATCATTGCAAAATGAGGTGTGCAAGGATCCTCATTTCAAATGATCCTATCTGTCTCATCTCAGGGCTTTTTTTAGGTTTCCTGGGAGGTTCGGGATTCGGCTCCAGGGGCTTGAGAGACATAACCAGCCATGTCCTTTGCACGTTCATTATGGCTCTATGGGGAGTATAGCGTTATGTTAGATCTTCGTCACATTTTTTTCGGGGCCCTGTTCTTTCCCTGAAGCCTTAACCCTAGGATTTCCCCATGGGACGGCAACTACTTTACGTGCGCCTAACCTAACCCGACTCTGGCGACGACCAACCGTCAACCCGAAAGCGTGCGTGTCAAAGTCTTGAAAGCATAATCCCTATGTATTCCTTGCAAAGCCATAAACATTCATAGTTTTTGTAGTGCCCTCAAAGCTACCCAAGTTTTGGGTTTAGGGTTTAGGGTTTAGGGTTCAGAAGTTCAGGGTGCCGACGCCTTGCTTGGCAAGGCGATGACGGTGCAGATCGAGTCGGTGAGCCCTGATGAGGCCGCGCTCTTCTACTAGTAGGGTTTAGGGTTTAGGGTTTAGGGTTTAGGGTTTAGGGTTCAGGGCTACGAGGGCCCGGCGTAGGCCCCTATTTCCTTTTTTAGGGCTGGGGTTCCCTTAAAGATCCCCTTAAACCCAAAAAGGGCACCCTGTTTATCCCTAGGCTACTCCTGGGTCTAGTCTTCCAGCAGGGTGACAGAGGGGGGTGTTGGGTGTTTAGGCTTCCTGGCCCTGCACCCTGAATGGTTTAGGCTTGAGAGTTGGGTTTAGGGTTTAGGGTTTAGGGTTTAGGGTTTAGGGTTTAGGGTTTAGGGTTTAGGGTTTAGGGTTTAGGGTTTAGGGTTTAGGGTTTACTCAGGGCTGAGGGCTAAACCTTCAACCAAACGTGCACACCGAAGGCTTATGGGCTTTAAGGTTAACCCTGAGGGTCCATGTACCTCATTATTGTGTACCTGGACCCGAATAATCGTCGCTAAATAGGAGGTACTTTAAGGCCCAAGCCTTAGGTTTAAGCTTTTGACCTTCACTTTTTCGTGGCGTTCCCAAACCCTGTAAAGCTTGAAAAATCCAAAAGCCCCGCATCCTAGTAGACTGCCCGAACCCCAAAAGCCCGAAGTTAAGGAAAAGCTTAGGTTTGGGGTTTTGGCTTTTGGGACGTCACCTGCCAGGAACTGTTTAGCACAAAGAGGTCAGGTTGATTCCACGGGATGGTGATTTGACGTGTACATGTATTTCGGGTTTGGACCCCTTCTCGAATGTGGATCATGGATAGTTTGCCGACTTCATCGTGGCCGAGCGTGGATAGAATGATGATCCCATGTTCGATCGCAGCTGTAAGCTGCTCAAGAAGGGCCCTTCTTAGTACTGTAGCAGCCTGTATTGTACAGTTTTCGCCCCCGTGGATAGTGTTCCTGTACGTCGTGGACCTGATTGGCCAACTCGCATCCGGAGGAAAGAGGAGCCAAAAGGGTCGGGCGTTGACGAGGAATAGATCCTTTTCCCTAACCTCGGGATAGTTATCTGTTCTCTTTACAACTCATAGCCGGAGGCCGGAGGATACTGAGGGCAGGTGGCTGTTCAGGTGAATATCGGGATAGGTGTACAACACGCAGCCGGACGGCTAGTGGATACATCTAGAGCGATAGGTTACCACCCCCTGGAGATAGCAACTCTGGGGATCCTTCCGATAGTTAACGTCGGGAGTGGCTCGGAACGATTGGCTAGCTACCTTGAGTTCCCCGTTGACAGGGATACTGTTACTTCTGGTGCAACATTACAACCTACAACTGTAAATATACAACTTCTTTCTCCTCGTGTGGCCTGAGCTAGTTACTGGAACGGGTTGCGCAAGTTTTCATTGGTTTGGACGCTTCGCACAGGTTAAGAGCCTTGTTGCTTGGCCTGGACGAGCTGTTCGAGAAGTTTTCTTGGTATAGCGAAGAGGTACCACTTGCATAGCGAAGTTTTCCGCATTTATCACTTGTGTTCGTTGACTGCAGCAATGTCCACACGTGATAGCATTGGGAGCAGTGAGTCTAGCGATAGTGATGTGTTGGGAGTAGGGAATAGATTTCTCGAGGACCAGGTCACTGCGGTCAATCAGAACGTGGCCGCTACCGATAGTCATGTGAGAAGCATAGCCGACGCCGAGAACGTGAACTTCATCGACGACGGACGGAATAGTGGAAGGACGGGAATGGAGATGGATAGCAGTGATAATAGAGATCGCCTCGGCCTCAGTTTCTCAGGACCGCTTACTGTAGACATCAGGTCGAGTGCTGCGAATAATATGTTAGTGTCAGGACCACCCCCAGGACTGACGGATAGAAACTTGGAGATCGTGGCGGCAATGGATAGTGTGGGGAGGTCGGGAGGACTGGGCTATGCCGGAATAGCGGACACGTCGGGCACTCAGGGGAGGGACGCAGACGAAGGTTTGCAGGAGTTGCTCGCAATCCCGTCGATAGCAGATAGAGGGGATGCCGTAATGCAGCTCAGCATGCTTGCAAGCCGTCCTGTAGTGTTTGATCCAGTTATGGGAGCTACAGATTTAAATGAGTATAGGGCCGGAAGAGGTGAGATAGAAGCGGGAAACGCTAGGACTCCGACGCTTGCTATCGAGGATCTGGCTGGAATAGATGAAAGGATGGAAGAGGGACCGTTCGTCATCCCCTCCGAGCCTGTGTCCCACAGGACGAATTACGAGTCAACGGGAGGTGCCAAGGGAATCACTGGTTCCAGGTTAGAAATGGCGATCGAGGACAGAGTGGATAGTCTTGCAGTGTCATCATCGTCAGATCATGATAGGACGATCAGGAGGAATGATGATGGAATAGATGCGATGATGCTCAGTGGCGAGCTCGGTGCGGAGGGCGATCGAACGAGAAGTGCGGATAGCGGACATTGGATGGGCAGAGGGAATGGAGATGATCTCGTTCCAGGAGTGTATTCGAATAGTGCGACCATGATTGGGAATGTCGGTGCCGATCCTACAGACCTGGAGTTGATAGCTAAGGGATCGTCAGCGGTAGCGCAGAACGTGGTCAGTGGGAGCGATGATAGAGCACTGTCTGTATTTTCATCTACAGGTCTCTCGGAGGCATCACCAGGCGGGAACGTTGAAGCGTTGAAGGATGTGAGGATGGGTCAGACTACGACGATCGGAATAGAGTGGGGATCCCATGGAATCCGGAGTACGCTCGAGGAAACGGGGGTCATCACTGACATGGACTTTGCGAAGTTCTTCACAGATCAGGGGCCAGGAGAGCCTGGATCAACGCCCATGACGATGCAATCGGAGTCGCAGGAACGGTGGAATGCTGGGATATATGGTGCCGAGATCGCAGGGGTAGAGAAAGACAGGTCACGAAAGATGTCGATGGGGTCGGATAGTGGGCACTCAGGTGGTCGATCTACATCATTGAAGAGGGATAGCCCGGGTGGATCGGAAAATGGAGTTGGTACCACCAGCAAGATAGGCAAGATGGATGAAGGACTGCGTAAGCAACGAGCGGAGCAGGCCGTTAAGGAGATGAACCAGATAGCCGAGAGCGTCCCCGCAGCGAAGAAGTCGAAGTCGACAGAAATTGGGGGACCGATCCATCAGGCAGGAATGATCACCCCGGATCAGGGTAGCGAAGGATGGGGCAATCGATCCCCGGCTCCACGATCTCCTGGGATAGGTGGGCAGTACGAGCATTTCGGGATCGATACTCCTCCTGAAGGACGAGGCAGGAACGACGAGATGAGGGCAACATCATCCCCACCCAGGCGGGCAAAGGTGAGAGCTCCTGCTGATCCGGACAAATCGTCGTTGGGAGAGATAGATGGCAGGATAGATGACTTGCAGACGGTGGTTGTGGACACGCAGACCGACGTAGCCAAGCTTAAGGTGGCAAGCGAATGTGCAAGTGCAATTGCTAATAGCTCAGCGGAAAAGGCGGACGTCGTGAGCAAGAGATTGGTGGAATGCGAAGAGGAGGTGAAGCACTGGAAAGGTTGGATAGAATCGCAGCAGATAGATACCAAGACAACACTGTCGCAGGAGCTGAAAGAGATGAGTCGGATCATGGACGGGAGCGTCAGCGAGGATAGGATGGATGATGCAATGGCTCCGCAACTGACCGAGGGAGCAATGCAGCTCGCACGGAGAATGAGACGGCAGGTCGAAAACGTGAAGGTGCTCAAGACCTCTGTTACGACTAGATTGAAGGGAGTGGAGGAGCGATTGTCCACAGCGGAACATTCAGCGGACATAGCCAAACAGAGTACCGGGACGAAGATCACCACGTTAGAAACAGGATTGAATGAGGTGAGACGTGGCATAGGTGTAGTCTTCTCGAGTATGCAAATGCGACACGAGAATGGAACATGGAAGAACGAGAGACTGGATAAAGTAGAGACGGTTTTGAATAGACAGTGGGACCAGATCAAGATAGCGGGCGAGGAACTAAGGAAGCTGAAGTCCAAGGGGAGCCAGAAAGCCGGAACAGATACGGCATCGTCGTCACATTGCAACAGCCAAGGAAAAGGTCCTGGATGCGGATGCAGAGAACCTGGCGAGGGTCACGGCACGTGCATAGATGGGGCAGTGCGGGGCGAAACCAAGAAGCTGAGTGAAGTGGTTCTGGCGCAGAAGGAACACATAATGACCGTCGCGAGAGAGGTGATAAAGAACCGCAAAAGCGTGGCTGAGATTGTGGCGAACATGACAAAGGTTCACAAGACTTGCGAGAATGTCGCTGCAAGGACAGATCGGATGGATGAGAAGAGAAACGGAGAACAGGCCTGGGTAAAGGATACCGTGCGAAAGATGGAAAAGACAATGGAATCAATGTCGAGCCGTATGATAGATGAGCAGAAGAGAGTCACGGGCGAATTTATCCTTGTCAATGCTCGAATTGATGAGAGCGCACGGAACGAAGGGGTAGGCAAGATGCGAGGAAACAGCGCAGAGATAGGAAAGCCACCGACCATGACACGCGGACGAGATAGTCACGGTGGGAGTGGGGGAGCCGACGGAAGAGCCAGGAGCGACAACGCCCGAGGGATAGAGGCTTCGAGGCCGGAGTTGGCAGGTCCTGTGGTAGATCGAAGGATTGAGAGTAGATGCATTGTGTTAGAACAGCAGGTGACCAAGATCACTAGTCAATTGCAGGGATTGACCACTGTGAATGAGCGGATCGTGAGGGAGAACGCTAGCCTGACCAGTGAGATAGAAAGCATGAAGGGGGAGAACAAAGGAGTGACAGAATCGGTAGCGCGGATGATCCGGGATAATAGAGATGAGGTATCTAAAATGAGAGCGGATCTCGATCTTCGTAGTAGAGAAATGATTGAACTCAAAGAGAAGAACGAGCAGTTGGAGGCAACGGTACGAGAGTATGAGCGGAGACTGGAGCAGGTGAAACGAAACGATAGCATTAAAGCAGAGCTGGATAGCATGTGGAATAGAATCGGTGAGATCGCCAAGCAGAGCTCCGAGTACGCTATGCCGGCGCCGGCTGCGGGAGGTGCTTCGAACGCTGGCTCCGCAAGACCAAGTGCCGGTGCCACGCCTGCGCCAAGTTCGTTTGGGGATAGAAGAGAGCATGGAAGAAAGGATAGACAAGGAGATGGAGGTCTGTTGGGGGAAGAGACTAGGATTAGAAGGTGCCCTGTATGTGTTAGACAAGCAGAAATGATGATTGCATGCCATGGCTGCGGAAGAGAAGTGTGTGGTAATTGTTATGAGTACCATGATGACGTGTGCATGCTGTGTTCCACTGATAGAAGGGGATGCGATGCCGGAGGGTATGCAGGGACAGGACTTCCGAGGCCGCAGAGCGGACGAGATCATGAGGGGGATGATGCCAGGTTTAGAAATCCGGTAGGCGGAGGGTATAACAAGTTCAAGGACACCAGAGGGATGGAGAAATGCAACGAGATATCGATAGCGAAGGAGCCATCATCCGGGGAAGTAGGACTGTGGCTGGGCGATGTTGCCCACACTGCGAAGGCTGCGTATCTATATGACGGGGACTATGCATACACGCAGGTATTGAGGGTACGCGAAAGGAGCGAAGCGATGATAGACATGGAACTCAAGTATCCTGCGTTGGAGAACCAGCTTTTTAGCGGATTAAAGAGAGCAATAAAGTCAGAGTCATTGTCGGCGAAGGTGAAGATGGAGATGTACAAGACTCAGCAAGTGGGGGATGGAAAGCCGATGACGGCCATGAGATTGCTTACGCTGATAGTAAAGCATGTTGAGATCCCGATTGCAAAAGAGAGTCAGGTGCTGTACGATGGCCTGAGTAGCACGAAGGTGATGAGTTTCCCGGGGAAGCCCGAAGAGGAGGCACTGGAGGAGTTCATGACTAGATGGGATCTAGCGCACACGAACCTTACAGGACTGAAAGGCAATACCTGGAGCGAGCAACAGCTGGGATGGATGTTGCATTCGAAAGTGCAGAGAGTTCAGGTGCTGAACCACGATATTGAGGCATGGAGACTGCTTCCGGACGAGGCCAAGACTCATACCTGGTTGCGAAAGAGAATCAAGGATAGACTGGAGATGTGGAGAGCGGACAAGAACATAGACGAGGCATCAATGCGGGTGAGTCGACAGGCATTCACGAGTGGGTACGCTGCGATGCCGGCTCAGCAGGGATCATATAGAGCACCGGTGAATAGAAGAAGCGCATACGCCGATGATAGACCGAGGAGTTCATCGCCCGCAGGGGGAAATAGCTACGGAAGAGGGATATCTGTGGGAAGAGGCAGGGACGGACTTTCGCAGGCGGGGAGAGCCGATGACCCGAAGAATAGATATGGATCCAAGTCGCCGTTTGGAAAAAGAGGGGTCTGCTACCCCTATACGCGTGGAACTTGCCCGATGACTGCGGCGGACTGCAAGCATTCGCACGATATTTATCTGTATAGTCAGGCTGAAGAGGTCCTCAAGAAGGCGGGATACTGCTTTGAGCATTTTCGGTACGGCAGCTGCAGAAACGATAAGTGTAAAATGCTCCATGAGGCCATCCCGAATAGCATTAGGGAGGCTTTTGAAACGGTAGAGATAGAGCAGAAGGAGACGAGGCCGTCGAGCCCACATGCTGATGGTGAAGGGCCAAGTTTTCGCTAGGGGCGGGCCGAAACCCACAGGCCAGCGAGGATAGCCAGGTATATGCGGCCATGCCTGTGGTACGACAAGGGGATGATGGCGCCGAAGGCACGCATAAGGGAATACTGGTGACAACGACAGGCAGGGAGCGAGTGAAGAAGGGTAATAGGCGAGTCAAGGGGTTGGGCTCCGAAGAGACGGGGATAGCAGGACTGGATATATGCTATTGGAAAGGACACACAGCTGATAAGATGGTACGAAAATGCAAAAACGTACACAAGAAGGGGTATGTACATGATGTGAAACGATATCCCGTGATTGAAGAGGCAAAGGCAAGGCTACGAGGAATATCCCTAGCCGAAGAGGTCGTGCTGGACATACTTGCCGGGGAGCAAGGCGAGGAAGGTAGGGATGCATCAAGACTGGCTGATAGGATAGTGGAGGAATGCAGGAGAATAGGTATAGTCGACGAGAGATTCCGCGTGAATAGTCGAGAGGTTAGTCAACCGGCGGCGTCTGCACAACATTGCTTGCCCCCGGTAATGAGACGATGGATGATAGACTCGGGGTGCGCTATGGATCTAATAGCAGAAGCAGACCTCACCCAGGATGAAAAAGATATGGCCATTGAGGCGAAGAAGGTGAGGTTCAACACTGCCAACGGCAACACCACGTCAAAGCAAGAGATATGCATGGATATACAAGGGATGCCTGAGACGATGAGGATTAGAATGCTAGAGAGTACTCCCGCTGTTCTATCAATGGGGAGGAGATGTATGAAAATGGGATATTCATTTCATTGGCTGGCGGGTGCAAACCCCGTGTTCGTCAAACCTGATTCGAGCTTGATAGTGCTAAAAGTCATCGGGGATATCCCATACATGGTGGATAGAATGTCAACGGTTGTTAACGAAAGTGAGCGTAATGACTATCACATCTATCCTGCTATGCCAGCGCCTCTTGCGATTGAACTGCCCGTGCGAGGAAATTCCAGTCCGAGGAGACTTGAAGAGAAACAGGATGAATGTAGCCCCAAAAGCGTGGACTCGGACACGGATAGAGACACCGAGGAGGAACCGATAGGAAAGGCCACCAACGACGACGGGAGGCTACTAGACAAGTGGATGTTAACGGGTAATAAAGCGGTGTGTTTCCATAACAAACCAAGAACGAAGACTTGCGATCCATGGTTTGAAACACTGAAATTCCCAGAGATACATGCACTTGTGCCGCGATTCGCCGAGAGATGTAGATCCAAACGTGTGTACAAAGATGGCAAAACCGTGGCGGAATGGATAGACTGGGTGGACAAGTACAATGAGGGAGAGAATAGAGACGCGGAAGAGGACTTATGGACAGGCAAGACCATGTTCAAGATAGAAGGGCTCACATTCGAAGGAGCGGATGCAGGAGAAGCGGTGCAGAGCGATAGCGCGAAGGTGAGAAAACATATCTTGAATAGAATGGCTGCGGATGAAGACGCGGGGCTAGATGACCTGACGATGATGCTGGACAAGAATATCGGTACCGGTGGGGAGGCAGAGACGCTAGTCGAGATAGCAAGGTGTTTATGGCCACTTGCTCCTCAAGAGGTACTTGACGGCGGAAAGGCACATAAGCCCCAGGGGGAAACGAGACCTGAAATCATGAAGATAAGGAAAGCGGTCGAAGGGAGCAGAAGGGTTATTGTGCACATTTGTTGTGGAAAGTCAAGGGGAAAGTTTGATGACATCGCAAGCGAACTGGGAATGAGCGTGATAGATATCGATATGGAGGAGAACGTGCTGCGATCTGATACATGGTGGTGGCTAGTGAAGCTGGCCACGACCAATTTGGTTTTTTGCTGGCTAGCCGGACCGCCTTGCAGAACGAGGTCCGTGATGAGATACAGAAGGCCTGGTCCAATTCCGCTTAGGTCGAGGAACGGACCGGAGAGGTGGGGATACTCATTTATCAGTTGGGCACAGAAGCAGGAATGCCGGGACGACGATATCATCATACTGCGCGTGTGCATGCTTGTGGTGATAGGAAAGGCACGTCACCGACGATTGAGAGCCCCAACGATGTGTCTCATTGAGCAGCCCCAGGATCCCGAGACGTATTGGGATGATACGCCAGAAGGGGGATACGCATCATTGTGGGCGACAGAAGAATGGGATAGGACGAGTGCCATCCTAGGAACGAAGCTATTCAGTTTTGATCAGGGACCGATGGGACACTCTAGGAAAAAGCCGACAACGATAGCGACTGACGCAGAGTTGATAGGATGGGCGGTCAATCTTAGAGGACCAGGGACTGGAGCGACGAATGATAGCAGTGATAAAAGCAAGGGCGAGATGAGCGAATCGCAGAATTGGGCGGAGTGGGCACCGGGATTAGTGCGAGCCATTAAGGAGACTATGCGTAAGCACCACCGAGTATCATCAGTGGCCGAAAAGGGGATAGACGAGAGGAATAGGGAGACAACGATAGAACAAGATGATAGTGATGGTCGACTGAGAACGACGTTCTACTGCGCCGCGTGTAAGGCTGATTCATCCGGGGTATGCGGGTTTTGTGAAAGAGCTTTAAGTCCTGAGCAGATTGACGCGGGACAAAGCGCACGCAATATGACGGATGCGGAGTTTCAGCTCGTCCGCGGAATAAAGAAGAATACGGATGATGACCTAAGGATCGCGGAGCAAGTCGTCGCTGTACCCGGCGAAGAAGAAGGCACCGAAAACGAAGGCGAATTGGATGTTGATATAGATTTGCCCGGAATAGCCGACGAAGAACAGGCCAGAAGAGGAGTGGGAGAGCCTCAGAAGGATGATAGCGCCGGTGGCATGGGAGAGGTGGAACAAACAGAGGCAGAAGTCGGACCTGCAGATCAAGTTCGAGTTGCGGATAGACTTGGCGAAGGGATAGGGTCGAGCAAAGCTGTGAGCATTCGGAGAGCAAGATACTCACCGGAGTATGCAAAATCGGCGGAACATTTGCTCACGCATCTCCCAAAGAACATGCACTGCGTTGCCTGTCGACAAGGCAAAGCAATAAACGTTCCCTTCAACAGGGGCGAAGGCATCACCGACAAGGGTGCCGAGAAGTTCGGGGAGAGGGTCACTGCTGACACGATAGTTCTTCGCAGCAACAAAGACAAGGGAATCCGCGGAGAAAATAATGCAATCGTGATGTTCGACTTCAAGACACAGTGGATACACTGCACGCCCGTAAAGTCCAGGGGAACGGATGAGTTTGTGCGAGCTATCAATGAGTTCCGAGGCCCAGATATGGTAGTGCATTTATACGCAGACGGAGCCGGTGAATTCTCAAAAGCCTGCGACGTCATAGGAACTTGCAGGGCGACTTCTACACCCGGATTACCCCGAACGAATAGCATAGCGGAGCTCAAGGTCAAAGAAGTAATCTACGGTGGCAGAGTATTGCTGAGACAAGCAGGACTAGAACCGAAGTGGTGGCCGTACGCTGTGCAGACGTTCTGCTTCCATAGGAACGTACAACAAGTGGACGGGGTAAGCCCGTACGGGAAAAGACATGGCAACGAGCAAGACAAAGTGAAACTGATTCCTTTCGGGGCACTTGTTAACTACCTCCCCATTGCCGAAAAGCCTAGAAAAGCTGGCAAAGAGGACGCGGCCCTGCTCGAACGGGGGGATCCTGAAAATGACGCTCTTGAGATTCTCGGAGCTGATGAAGATGTTTCGAGCATGGCCTTGCCCTCTGAAACGAAGGAAACCAAAGAACAACGCTCGCAAAGGGAGGAAGAGCTGAGAGAGATCGATAGACGTGCGCTCGATATGGTCATGACGCAGGACTTTGATGTGCAGCATGCAAAGGACATCATCCTGAAGTTCACTTCGATAGAGAAAGGAATAGCGAAGAATTCGCGGAGCATGGCCACCGGTAGAGGGTTCATAGTCCTGGGGCTGTATGCGTACGGAGGAAAGGTTGGCATTACGAATAGTGCCAAAGAATATCCGGGGATAGCCATGGTGTGCTGCGAGCTGATAGCAAAATGTTTCCCAGAAGCTACTTTTACAACGGTGATTGTGTCTGTCGGAACCAGGATGGGGCCTCACAAGGACAAGTTTAACGAGAGCCAGACGTACAACTTTGTTGTGCCGGTAAGCGAGAGGGCGGGTGAAGCTATGATCTGGACAGAAGAGGAACAGTGTGAGAATGAGAGTGGCGACGCCGCCGGGATAAAGAAAGAGGTGCTTCCGGGAAAATGGATATGGGGAAGGACTCGGAAGGTTGATAGTGGGCTAAAGTTCAATCCAAGAGTTTGGCATGCTACCGAAGATGCCTTGGCGCCGGAGGATAGAGTGATAGCGGTGGGATATACCCTGGCAGCGGGTAAAAAGGCATCTGTGGAAGACAAGTGGAAGTTGATGAGGCTGGGCTTCAGATTGGATGAGCACTTTGCGACATTAGCGGATGGCTTATGCCAGGCGGCGTGTGCAGACAACGGTGGGGATGGGGAAGAATATGTAGATCACGACGCCGAAGAAGAGCAAGCATATGCCATGGCATCCAAGGCAAAGTTCGACACTCCGACATCACCCGGATTGTTCCTAGGTTACGCGCTCCAACCAGGGGGTGTTCCGAGCGGAGACTATATAGTGGTTGAGCTGGCGCACCTGTATCACGGATGGACGGTACCGTCGATACACCGCGTGAAGAGGATAGTACTTGACGAGGAGATGCCCAACTACTTCCCGATGCAAGCTGTGGCTGATAGGAAGTCGAGAATCATGACAGCGACTCGAGCTGATGTCCTGGCCAGATTGGAACTGGAGAGAGAGGGGCAGCAAGGAGAGGAGACGGAGGAAATCTTCGCAGAGGAGAGAAGGGTACGAGCCGATGTGATGAGACAAATTAAGTGCGACGATCAGCATCTTCAAAACGGGGATTTCTGGGAACATGATGAGATAGACCATTCGTGGACGCTTCATCACATCTTACCCCGAAAGGAGCTGTGTACCCCAGGCGAGGAGGTCAAAGGTACAGGTGGCCCCGGGGATAGAGAGCTGGGTCCAAGGAGGCGAACGTGGATAGTGTACGCCGATGGTACATCGGAGGTACTGGATGAGGATAGAATGAAGGGCAAGAAGAAGATCACCAAGAAATGGACGGGGTGCACTACGTTCTGGGAAAAGGGGGAGCCTGAGGGAGAGATAGAGGATGAAGCCAAGGAGCGGGCGCGGGGAGAGAAGGCGACGGGTATACGGGGGGTGGGTTTAGACTACGAACAGGACATGCCCAGGATAGAACGGCCGTACGCGAGATCTCACAAACCCAACTCCATTTCGTCGGCAGAGTGGAATAGGATGAGTCCGGGACAGCGACTGCGCTATATAGAGGGAGACAAAGAGAGGATCATCAGAGGAGAGAGGCCTCCCTCTGCCGTTCGAGGGCAAGAGGGAATAGGACCGCGTCCCGCAGAAATTGGAGTTCGTGAATGGATGGAGAAAATCACCGACCATGGACAGGACTTCTCACCGCGGGAATACCGATGGGATTCTCCATCGGGAATGCCTGAGGGTGGCCGAGTGTGGGCAGTAAGAAACAATCGCGCCACATCCTACCGATTCTATGGCGGAAGGGACAAAAGACGGCTCGAGCTCTGGTGGAGGGTCACTCGGAGCGCTAATACTGGGGAGGTCTTAGAATCCATTGAATATGACTCATGCATACAGGCGGAGATGATGCGCAATAGAGGGAGGTACCGATTCGTTGTGCCCAGGGACATCATCACGGAGTTCTGGTACATCCCCGACGGAGGAGAAGACCGACGAATCAGGGATAGAGGAGGACCAGCAGAACCTGCCGCACCGGCATCCAGGATGGGAGGTACTGAGGAGGTTGCGAAAACCATCAATCAATTGTGCAGCACAGCTGGAATAGCGCGAACGCCGTCCGACAACATCATTGGGGAAATAATGAGGGAGTTGGGCGAACAGCCTAAAGTGCAGGTCATGGGGATCGGAATAGATGAAATAGGGGATAACGGAGGTGAGAACGTATCTTGGATATCGGGGGAAGGATGTGTGATAGGAGAGGATGTGACGGATGTGGTCATCGCTATCGATGCGTCTAGCGAAGGCATGAGTATAGAAGTTGATCGAAAGGCATCCGGTTGGAGACGTGAGGAAGGTCTAGATAGTACGCGAGAGGCTCGAGATAGAGTGTTTGGTAATATAGAAAAGGTTATCACCGACGCCAACAGCAGAGGAATAGTGGCTACGACCATATGGATAGGCGGCAAAAGTCGATTGGCCGACGAGACCATTGTTCGAATGGCGCTTGCCTGGGACATGTGGATAGTACGGAGTGATGGATGCATGCTGGGTATGAATGACGGGGTGGACGCGTCGTGTTACATAGGAATGATCACTCCATGTATGATGAACACGATCGCGGCGGACATGCTAGCATGCGATCATATGCCAAGGGATCATGAGTTAATGTCGCACATGGTGAGGACATCGGACACGAAAATGGACGTGCAACGAGAGCAGGAGCGTAAGGCGATACGCGAAATGATCAAGGTGATAGAGGACGTGGTAAGCATCTGCGGCGAGGAAGAGGGTGATTCGGTGTCGATGGCATGTGAAGAACACGAGGGAGAATATCTCGGATATAGTAGTGGTATGGTGACACTGGACGTGGACTCCTTGGCACAGCTGGAAAAGGGAACGATTAGAGGTGACGAGACCGGGGGATCACTAGAGAAGCTGCTGAAGATAGCCAAGAGAAGAATGAACGGAGGAAACTCGTATTGGGTGATAGACATGGAGGGAGACGACGAGCACGTCGACGATGCTACGGATCGAGAAGATCAGACGCTGGTGAGGAACTATGCTGCTGCGGCTGCCGAGGATGGGGCACCGTACATCAGTCGTGAGGAGCCCAGATGGAAAAGATGCATAGTTATGAATAATCCAGGCCGAGAGGCAATGGGGGAGGTCTTCGGACCCCGGGCGAAACACATACAGGACCTGCGCGTGATCCTGGTCGACGGCGACGACATAGGCAAGGTTAGGATGATGAAGCCAAACAGTCGCCGCACCAGACATAGCACCGGAGGGGCCGCGGTAGCTTACCCTGGAGAAGAGCTCGAGGTGGGAGACATGAACTGCAACGGATGGATAGTAGTGCTGGCCGGGGAGAGGGAGAGCAGCGACACAGATCGACGCCACGACCAAGATAGAGAGGAAAGCTCCGGATTCGACGACCAGAGTGATGTGTTTGATTCAGAAGGGTGGACGCTGTCGGACTTGGAAGAGGAACGGGAACCTGTGGATGAGGCATTCTTCAGGGCCGGGCACGCTGAAACCATCAACCTCGAGACTATGGAAAAGGGCGAATGCGACATAGTCATGTGGGAGGCAGAGAGGAATGCACTGGTCCTCGAACTAAAGGACGACATCCATGTTCCGTTGATAGGATACACCTGGGTTCGTACTGGGATAGCATATCCGGAAGATCCTGGCACAAGTGTGAGAGTGTCTGCGCTTGGACAACTTGTGGCGGAAACTATGTGCGACGTCATAGGATACGAGGTATCACCTGAGCGAGAAATCCTGGTGGCTATACAGAATAGGAATAGCTTTCCCATTACGTTTGGAGGAAGAGGGGGGCCAATCATGAGAATGGAGTTCGCTAAGGGAGTATGTCTGCGACCGAGGATGCGCGGGTGCATGATGCCTGAGAACGTGAAGGAAGTGAGACATCGTAGGGCACATCGGGAGAGCAAGAAAGCAATCTGGGCAAGAGAGGCCCGTGCGAGGGAAAGAGACAGGGATAGTGCGGGTCATGGACTGAGAGCAGGGAGGAATAGAGATGAGGATAGGCGGCGAATCGGCGTCAAGCATGTCTCGGATAGGGCATACAGATGCCGAGAATGTCGACGACTGCTGGAGGGAAAAGCCAAGGTACCTAGTTTAATCCTCACGTCGATGACGCTATGCTTCGCATGCTTCATGAACAAGCATACTACGCCCGTTGATAATTTGATCCGGCAGGGTTATCAAACTGAGGACGAGGAGTATGGAGATGGAATAGTCGCAGTCCCTGCTATACAGGTGGATGCAGATCAAGAGGATAGCTGGGAAGAGGTTGCGGAAAATGAAGTGTGTGATAGCATCGACGAGACAGTAGGAGAACTTGAGCCACTGATGGCCACAATCATAGAGGACGAAGAGGAAGACATCGAGGAAGTGTTCGGACTTGTCGCTAGACCCGTGACGAAAGCTGAGAGGGCGATCAACCCCAAGGCTCGGGCCGCGCTTGATAAGGAATGGAAAAAGCTGATGGATCAAGTGGTCTGGATAATGGAGGAGGTGCGTTCGTGGAAGGACGTTCAGCGGGAGGCAATGGATAGAGGGGAAATAGCTCATGTAGGTCGTATCTTCGACATTTGTGTAGAAAAGAACTGGGAGCTTGCTGAAGACGATCCTCTTAGGAAGTATAAGGGGAGAGTTGTGTTTGAGGGATGTCATGTCAAAGACCAGGAGGGAAAGTGGGCCATCTTTCAGGAAATCACATCATGCCCTGCGACACTTGAGGCAGGCAAGATGGCGGATGCCTATGGGATGCTGCCAGGACACGACATCGAGATGTCGGACGGTGAGTCGGCATACACGCAGGCGCTGTTGGGGGGGCCTAAAACATGGATACGGATCCCGAGGGATAGGTGGCCAGATGAATGGGAGGGCATAGACGACCCCGTGGTGCCACTGAGACTAGCTTTATACGGGCATCCGGATGCCGGGGGGTTCTGGGAAAAGCACTGCGAAAAGGCTGTGACTGAGGTCGGCTTCGAATTCCTCTCAGATTGGCCTAGTGTGTTTTTCCATAAGGAGCTGAAGCTGATGCTGGTGATCTACGTCGACGACTTCAAGCTTGCGGGGCCCAAAGAGAACTTAGCGATAGGATGGGAGAAGCTGGCGAAGAGAATCAAGCTCGAAGAGCCACGAAGTATGGGTAGGTACTTGGGATGCTTGCACACGGCTAGCGCGATACCTTTTCGGTCGCCGTTTGAGCCGAGACACGAGTGGACGAAGATCATCGAGCCCAAGAAGGAACCGCCTAACTTCGTGGGGAAGGCCGAGGCGAAGGAAGATAGTCCAGATGAAATCAGGATTCTTCGATACGATGTTACCGATTTCATGAAGCAGTGTGTGGATAGATATCAAGAGTTGTGCTCGACGGCATATCCTAAGCCACTGGATAAAGCTAAGACCCCATATCTCGACGAGAGCCGCCCAGAGTTCGACGAGAACCCAGTAGACGACAAGGTGAACGAAATTATGGGGATAGCCAAGTACGAGCTGCCGGATGAGGGGCCGGGAGTGTTGAAAGAGCACGCCCCTGCGGTGCTCATGAAGATCTTGTATGGGGCCAGAGTCGGAAGGTATGACCTTCTGCGACCAGTACAGGTTCTGGCGTCGAGGCTGACGACCTGGACACATCTCTGTGACAAGAGAATGCATAGACTGATCTCATACATCAACGAGACGACCACAACGAGCCTCTACGGATGGGTCGGGGATAGGATAGGAGACATCCGTCTTGTGCTATACTGTGACGCCGATCTTGCCAGCGACAAGAACGACCATAGATCTACGTCGGGGGTATATCTGTGTCTTCAGGGACCGCACACTTTCGTTCCTATAGCTGCTTACTGTAAGAAGCAAACGTCGTGCTCTAAAAGTACCCCTGAAGCTGAGATAGTAGCCCTGCACGATGGCATCACGAAACAAGGAATACCGGGGTTGGCACTATGGGAGATGATGAAGGAGAGTATAGAACCCTTGATAGTGGCAGAGGACAATGAGGCGGCTGTTAGAGTGATTGTATCGGGCAAGAATCCGAACATGAGGTACCTGTCTAGAACACAACGAATAGACATAGCTAGGCTGAACCAGTTCTACGAGGCAGTCATGTTCACGTTTGTCAACTGTCCTACTGAGTATCAGGCTGCCAACATGATGACCAAGGCCATCAATGAAGCACGAGAGTGGTTAAGGGATATGTACACTACCGCACATTTCGGTGAAGAGGAGTTCGGGAAATCAACGGGAACCATCTTAGCTATGCCCGCGTGCCGGGGGGTATCCCAAAATCAGCTCGAGTATGAAATCAGGGATAGCGTTGGGATAGCAAAGTCCATAGTGGGAAGATGGATAATTTGGGAAATGGTGTGGGATATCAAACACTCGCCAATTCTGGAGGTCGATGAGGCGATCGTCGGTGAGTGCGACGGGATAGTTGTGATAGCACCGAAGCGAGTTGACTCGCCGTCTCGACTAGCCCGCGGAGCAGAGCTTAAGCTGGGAAGAAAGGACCAAAGTGCGGCTGATAGCCTAGCTTTACTGGTCGACAGAGTGATTGCTGCGGGCGTTGGGATTGTTCTGATCAATCGCAGTGATGCCGCCATATCCGAGGGAATAGCGAGAATTCTAGCTGCACGTGGAAAACTGGCTCGAATGCGGGGAAAGACGAAGATAGGAGAGCTTCACGACAAAGGAGAAGACGTACAATGCACCATATACATTAGTGAAGAATCAAAGGCTCGGATAGATAATAGCAATTTGGTGAATATTAAAGAACTTTGTAACGCTCTTCAACGACGTCTTGACTAGAGCGAATTTTGTGTGACCTTGAGTTGCATGCAGGTATAAGGACGAAGAGGGCTCTAGCGACCTGCATAGCGTGGAGCCATGGGAGAGATGTTCGGATCGGTGTCGCTGAGTGAGCGGGATAGAGATATCGGAAGCAGTGAAGATCCTGGGACAGCTTCGTCTTCGAGGACAGTAGGGGTACGATGGCAACGCCCAGAGCATCAGACCAGGGATGCAGGAGAGAGGGAACGATGTGATCGAGCACAGGCCATGATAGACTTCCTGGAGAAGGTGTTTTCCGACGCGGATAGGTACCTCAAGGCCGAGACGGAGGATGGAGTGCCAGGGGTGACGACGTACTCGTATCTGCCAGTCGGAGCCAAGGAGAGAGAACAGGCTAGAATACACTGGATGTTGGAGGGAAATCTAGAGATGCAGGAGGTATGGGCTAGACGGGCTATCCCCAGCCCATTCAAGGACGATGCAGACTTCAAGAAATGGATGAGCAGTGGGATAGCTGGTGTGCGAGCGGAAGAGGCCCAGGCCAAGACGGCGAAGAAAGGAGGTAAGCGTTCAGCCGTGGGATACGATGTGGATAGAATGCGAGTACACAAGATTATGTATCTCTGGGAGGTACTACGGTGTACAAGACGGAATCCTGAAGCATGGATAAGGGAGAAGATCCCTCTGATAGCTGCGTCTGTGACGGATGCCACGGACTACCTGGAGAGGGTGATAGCGAACTGGGATAGGCCAAGGTCGCATGGAGGGGCGACGAAGCCGCCACCCCAGGCGAGTCCTGATGCCGGGAACCTGTCGAAGGAGAAGCTGAACGACTTGATAGGGGTGCGATTGGCCAGAGGGATGGACGTGCCGGGATGTGCCATGCCCACAGCGGGCACGGGAGGAGATGTTGATACGCCATGGGCCCCTAAATTCCTCGGCGCGACTGATGAGACAGAGAAGTCCTTCCAGAAGGGGAGATCATATGAGAGGATGATAGCTGGTGTGGCACCGATAGCCATCTCTGTGGGAGGGGTGTATGACGTCACGAACGGAAGTAAGGACCCGTTCAGGGCTAGCTGGGGAGGGATCAGCAGAAAGACCCTAGATTGGGCGGAGATCCACATGGACGACACAGAGAAGAGCCCGTTCGATGATGCGATCAAAGGCATGATGACGTGGTTGGCCGTGCGACCATTGAAGTATGCAATTCCACCGTCTCAGGTTGCGGAGCGGATAGCGGTCAGCCATAAGTCGAGCGAGGAGAAGCTGAAGATATGGACGGAGGCGCAGCCCAAGATCAAGGTGATAGGCATGGCAGACGAGATTATGGGGGCCTACGAAAGCCAATACTTGAAGAGAGGAAGAGACGTGATGGAGGAATTCCGGAGAAGCGAGGGGGGAGAAAAAGGATACGGAGTTATGGCGAATGCAGCAAATGGGCAGATGAAGGAGTATCTGGATACACTGTCATGGCAAATAGGGGGACCGACGTCAGTTCTACACCTGTTGCACTGGTCCCTGGCCGAAGAAGTGACCACATTTCCGGAGGTCCAGGCAGACGGGGGGGTTAAGGACGTGAAGGAACATTTCACGGATTCGCGATGTATGTGGGTACCCACGAAGGCCGAATACGCCGGAGCAGAAAAGCTGAATCAGGAGATGTCGGTCGGGAATGAGGAGTTCAATGTGCCCGGGTGGATTTTCCACGGAACGTCTCTAGAGGCGTTGTGGTCGATGATAGCATCTGGTGGGATAGATCGAAGCCATCCGCTGGTCACGTGGACGACCGGCGCTCCCAGTGTGCACGACTCTGCGGGATGCTGGTTTGGACGGAGCATCTGTGGTACAGCGTCATACTCTACATGGCATTCGTTAGGGAATGGATGGATAGTAAGAGTACTGGCTGGCTTCAGAAGGATAGGCAAGAATGTCAAGATGGATGTGGGGACAAGGAGATCGTCGGTGCCTGACGGGCAGATCCGACTGGATGTGGATAGAGTGGAGATAGACGGGGTATTGTTCTGCTTTATGAGGGCCACGAAGATCATCGGGCAAGCACTTATCTGTAGGCCGAAGCACCCGGGTTTAGGAGCGAATAGCCATCTCATGAGTGAGATGTCGGCGCTGATGGAGAAGCATCCACAGGGGGTTGAGAGGCTGTATTGGCGCTATCACCTGAAAAAGCGCGCAATCATAGGCCCGGCCCGAGGACCTCTTCCTGAGCGACCTGTGGATTGGAAGATGGAACGTGAGTTCCTGCATCGGGAAGGTGACGAAAATGCCACGAAGGTCGTCGAACAGCCAACTGGCTCAAGAAGTGGTTTGATAGAGCTCATGAGGGGGTGGATAGCGGAGTTGCCTAGCGGTGGGGGCGTGTCTGGGCCTGATCGAGACAAGGATTACTACCCGGTGGATAGTGAATGGGCCAATGTGATACGTTTATTGGAGTATATGGGGATAGAGGCCCCAATGGCCACGGGACACGATAGCGCCGTCGTGAAGATGCCGTGGAGGAGTTTTGTGGGGCCAGCCATTTACAGACGGTGTGTGGAGAGCAGCGGGATAGAGGAGAAAGTCATGGAGGAGGCGAATAAGGCCACGCACCACATGGGCAAGGTTTTGGAAATGGCGGACGTGGGGAGCATAGTGTTGGGAATAGAAAAGGCACCCAGGAAATATGGGTGGAACAGACCGGAGGACGTCGACCAGAGCTGGGCGTTCGAGGCTCAGGCCTGGGCGGCTATCATTGGTATAGGAATGGGCGGAGTTGGAGGGAGATTGATGGAGCCAGCGCTTTCGAGCGAGCTTGAGTCTGCGGTGGAGACCTACGAGTGGATGTTTGACATAGCTACTGCATTCCATGAGCGCAAGGCGGCTGAGCTGGTGACATGGTGGGCGGAGGGAATGAAGCCGCCACTTCAGCTCCGATGTAGTGCGGATCAGAAGACCTACGTGCACATCATCATACCTGAGGGGATAGAGGGCGTCTCGAATAAGAAGAATCCGGCGTCACCAGGGGAAGTCCGAGAGTGGATAGGATTGCTATTGAAGGCGCACGGTGGCTATGGAAAGGCCGCGGAGAGTATGTCGTTCGTTACACACAAACTGACAGGAACGCAGGAGATGACCTACCAGGGTGCGTACAAGAAGGTTCAGGAAGTGTGCAAGGAATGCGTCTCGAAGGGCGTGGGAGGGAATCAAGTGACGAACATTATTGTGGTATTGGCCCCAGCTGGAATGGCAGCAGGGAATGCTCGCCGAGCAATAGAAGAGGTGAGACGGTTCGAGGCTACAGACGATGACACTAAAACCAAGGTGGCGAGGGAGACGAGGGAGACGATCAGGAAAGCCAATGCCAATGTGCTCTGGGTAGGGCCCGGAAATTTCGAAGAGAATGGATTCCCCACTAACTACCGAGTCAGGGAGGAGGCCAAGGAACTGATAAGGGCTGGAGAAGCCATGGATAAACTGATGAAGAAGTCTGGAATCATCACTCTGCCTTGGAACGTTATGCGTACGGCGTTTCCTCGAATAGGGGTGGACGCGGGAAAGTTGTACATCAGTGCCGGGCGAACGTTCGGCTTCTGGGCGCAGATCCTGTTCATCTCGATGTTTGGAATGATGTGGCCGACCCCGCGAGACATGGAGTTATGACAGAGAAACTTCAGCTATTAGGGAGGTGATCGGCGAGGAGAGCAGGGATAGCATTGGAGAGGTTGGAGTCTGGCTCCGACGCTGGATAGAAGTGGCGAAGGCAGACCGGTCACTGAAAACGAAAGTGATTGTGCCAGAGACAAAGATCACGGGAGTCACGGAGAGCCTTAGGACATCGGATAGACAAGGGGTGTATACGGAGATGGCTGCCAGGATAGATGAGTCGGTGTGGAAGACGATGTATGGTAAGTCCGAAGCTCACTGTGTGTCAGCCGGAGATAGGGGTTCTTGGCACCGGATGAAAGTGATCATTTACACGGCGGCCGGCTTCCACATGAAGGACCCCGAATACCAAGCTCTAAGGGCTATGGAGGCTATCGGGCAGCTGACGGCGATGGCAGATGACGCAGAGATGATGGAGGACGATGCAGAGTCGGATGGAGAAGAGGATGATGCTATGGGTGAGGATAGACCGGAGAACCAATCTGCTCGAGAGGGAGACGCATCAATGACTGAGGAGTTCAAGGAAGGCAGTGACGAGGGTTTCGCCACCGTGAGGAGTCGGTCAGAACAAAAGAAGGCGAAGAAAGAAAACCGGGAGGCTATGAAGAGGAAGGAGCTGCTCGAGAGTGCTCAGGAGCTCGCGAACCAACGACAAGAGAAACAAGCAAGAGACGAGAAGAGAAAAAGTGCCGGGGAAAAGGCGGGAGATGGCAGAGATGGCGGAGCACTTAGGGGAACCGCTGGGATAGGTGATCAAGGGGATAGACCGCCGGCTCCACCGGTGCCAACACGAGGTGATACCAAGGGGGCGGTTATGCAGGCTCCCAGATGGAAGGGTGGTGCTGGGACGGGTAGCAACATCAAGACCCTGAGCGACCTCAAGTCCGAGCAGAATATTCGGATAGAGAGACGCAGCAGGCAACGAGAAGCGGAGACAGTGGCGAAGGACCGATGGTGATAGGATCTGGAGGCACGGTGGGAGTGGTTGCCGACGGGACAGAACTGGATCGAGTGGAATGCGTGGGTACTGGAGAGAGTGGGGGGATATTGAGATTGAGGATGGAAGAAGAGGGATCGCCTGTGATAGAGGCCCCATGGTCGAGGAATACGAGGGCAGGACAGGTGCTGAAAGGGCATTTGATAGAAATGCAGCACTGGATTCGCTGTTATGGAGCCCCACCGATGGCATGGACAACGATAGTGGTACAGGTAATACGCAGGATGATTAGAGCGACGTGCCCGAGGGAGGTTACCGATGAGATCACACCCAAAGAAGTGTACGACATTGTAATGGCGGGAATATATGACTCGCAGGTGCTGTCGGGAACGAGGCCTGGCGCCGAACCGTCATACACCGGGATAGCTTTGGGAACTTTGATGAGAAGCAGGATATTGAACGTTGAGAGCAACGTCGGAGGCATGAGGAAGTGGGTAGAGCAATTCTATCGGGTGTGGATGGGCATGAATGGAATATTGGGGACCGTGCCAGAGCTGAGAGCTGACGGAGGCAGACTAGGCCGGCCTGGACACAAGCCTCCATCGATTTCACCGCCGCCGAGTGAGCCTAGAGTAAAACCTACATCCAACGACGCGGATGAGATAGAGGTGGAGATGCGGTGGACTATATACAACGTAATGATAGAACCAGAGACACTTTCCCTAGGTTATGAAGAGCTCGAGATGCTGTGGGAGACGAAGTTGTTCGAGGTTGTCCAGAGGGCCGGGGAGCATTTGATAG